GGGAGGGCCTTCTCTGTGGGAGCTCCCACCCTCTGGAATGAACTGCCCCCAGAGATCAGGGTTATCCCTGATCTCCCTTCCTTTCGCCGCGCCCTCAAGACTTGGTTATTCCAGCTTGCAGGACTGGCCTAGGGTAATTTTTAGGGGGGTTTTAATTATATTTTAAATTCGACAAATATTTAATATTCTTTTTAATTAAGTTTAAATTTGTATTGTTTTGTATGTATTTTAAATAGATTGTCAGCCGCCCTGAGTCCTACGGGAGAAGGGCGGGATATAAATTCAAATATAAATAAAATAAATAAATAAAATCGCAGCTACTGATGCATTCAGAGTTATACAAGAACATTAAATATATGAAAAGGTGGGCCTAAAAGATGAAATAAAAGTTCTATGGGAGAAAAAAAGATAGCAAGAAGAGATGATATCAATATAAAGAGGAACTGACAAATAGTTGTCGAAATTGATGAACGACACAAATCTTTGTTCATTATGCTAGTTGGATGTTTTGAATAGTGAAATTAAATACTCCTCAGCAAATCTACCTAGTAAAAATACTTCCAACAGCAAAGGCACAGGAGTTGATGAAATACCATCAGAACTGTTTAAAATCTTACAAATAGCAATTGTATTTAGGCTTATATACTACCGCATGGGGCTTTACAGCACTCTCTGGACAGTTTACAATGTAGAAGCATTATCTACATATTGCCCCCAACAATCTTAGGTCCTGTTGCCTAAGGCAAGGGTCGTCAACCTTGGCAACTTTAAGACTTGTGGACTTCAACTCTCAGAATTTCTCAGCCAGCTTTGCTGCCTGAGGAATTCTGGGATTTGAAGTCCACAAGTCTTAAAGTTGCCAAAGTTGGAGACCCCTGGCCTAAGGAATGGAAAAGACAGATTTGTGATCCAATATATAAAAAATGGAGCAATATTAAAGAATGCTCAAACTCTGAAACAATTGTATTTCCGTAACATGCTATAATGAGATTAAGATTTTAAGATTTTGCAATCCACTCTTTAATAATACATGAGAATTTCTGGGTCTGCTAGGTGGATTCACTGCCAACATCTGATGACTAATGGAAAAAGCAAAAGAGAATTTCAAAGAGACATCCTGTTTTTCTTTATTGACTTTTTACTTGTAAAAGCCCTTAAAAACCTAGGCTGGGTTATCGGATCTTTGTACTGAAGAAATTCTGGAGGCAACAATTATAATGGAATATGGAGCAATTAAATGGTCCAAACCCAGGTAAGAAGTAACCCAAGGTTATAGATTTGTCACCTTTTATTTAATTTACATGAAGAATATATCATGAGAAACACTGAACTAGAAAAAAACAGGAATTAAAGCTCCTGGGAGAAACATCAACAACCTTTGATATGTTGATGATGCTATTCTCATGGTCAGAAATGAAAAATATTTAAGGAACCTTTTGTAAATGAAAACGTAGAGTGCAAAAAATCTTTTGCTCCTGAGTATCAAAATCAAAGAAAGGAAAATTAAGTCAAGAGGCAATGCCAACCCCATGCAAATAGGTAGGGAGGTTCAAAGAAGCCTATCTTTCCAGATACAAAATGGTGAATACAGTAATGAAAAAGTGGCATCTCTTACTTAAGAAAACTATGATCAGTCCAGACAAAAATTGAATGTGTTGATATCATATTGGCAATAAAGATACCTGTTGTCAAGGCTAGATGTAAATGTGACTGTGAGAGTTAAATTATCAAAAAAGCCGAAACACAAGTAATTTTCGGTAACATTTCATTGTACCTTACATGGAGCCAATTTTGATTCTGCCTTAGCTGCATGCAATGTTGTGCTTAAAGTATGTCAAAAAGGCCCCATCCGAGTTGCAGTAGAGCATAGTAACTAGATAGTGCTTTAAATCACATATTCCTAAATGCTAAAAGCAATTACATTGTGATTCAAATTCTAATTAGGTTGACTTTGATACTGCTTATATTAAAAAACAACAACAATGAATGTCCATTAAATCCTGGATTTTTTTTTCACAGAGATGTTTCAACTGAATTATTTAATGAAGCTGAATATAAGCTATTTTAATACAAATAATATAAGTCAGGAACGTTTCAATAGTATTGCCTGTGATAAGGAAACAAAACTATTTTTAGCTCGTGTGCTGTGTGAACCCAACCACTGTGGATTTGTGAAATGTAGTCCATGATCTGTTCCTCTCAACATGTGAGGTGTGACACTTTCTAGGAAGCTTCAAATGGATTAGTGTAAATAGAAAACTGAGTGATATCTTGCTTTAATAGGATTTATCAATGTGGGATGGAAATCAGGGTAGGTCCTACTCATTTTCAAGCAGTTGTTCACAGGAGCTCTAATTAAGAAAGCCAAGGTGTGCAACAGTTGTTGAAATATTTGGTATTTACCCATTCTGTGGGTTGTGGTGGAAAAAACATGTTCCTGGTCCTGTCCAAAAGAGTGGGCCTTCTGGTGGGGTCCAGGAACAAATCCATTTCTGCCATGGGACTTGCCTTCTGGAACCTCATCTCCCCTAAGTGATTAGACCTGCCCTGACCTGCCCTTGAAGGCTTTTGCCATTGAGTCTGGGACCCTGAGAGTAGGGCTGAGCTCGTTTCTTGATCTTGTGTTAACTCAGTGTTCTTAATAGCTAAGTTACTTTATGTTAACTTAGCAGTGTTCCAATATCTCAAGGGCTGCCACAAAGAAGAGGGAGTCAAGCTATTCTCCAAAGCGCCTGAAGGCAGGACAAGAAGCAACAGATGGAAACTAATCAAGGGACTGGCCTAGGGGAAAACTTTTAGTGGGGGTTGTTTTAACATAATTTTAAATTACTTAGACCAATTATGAATATTTGTTTTTAATTATGTTTTAATCTGTAGTTTTGATATTTTGTATTTTTATCTGGTTGTTAGCCGCCCTGAGTCCGTAAGGAGAAGGGCGGGATATAAATATAAATAATAAATAAATAATAAAATAAATAAGGAGAGAAGCAACCTAGAACTAAGGAGAAACTTCCTGACAGTTAGAACAATTAACCAGTGGAACAACCTGCCTCCAGAAGCAGTGAATGCTCCAATACTGGAAGTTTTTAAGAAGAGACTGGATAGCCATTTGTCCGAAATGGTATAGGGTTTCCTGCCTGAGTAGGGGGTTGGACTAGATGACCTCCAATAGAGTCCCTTCCAACTCTATTATTATTATTATTATTACTATTATTATTATTATCATCATCATCTCTGTTGTTTTAAAGTTGGTTGTTCTTTATCATTTTTAATTGTCAGCCTCCCAGACTTATGTACATGAGATGGGGTACCAAATACATTATATAAGTAAATAAATATATGGGATGAGATTAGAGATGGATCAAATCATCTGAACTATTGCTCAATTAACAGTAGCATTTGCAATTTGGAACAGCTAGAGAATTGACAAAGAAGAGATTACTGCTAATGGCTTGCCACCTTCCCTTTTCTTGTGACTCGTATCATGAAGTGATCCTGTCTGAGAGTTTATTCATTACCTGTCATTTTCTGCAAGGGCTCCATCATTTGTATTCCAACTCTCTCGACAGCAACAATATCGTTCTCCTTTAAATACTGCTTCAAGGTTGGGTGGATGACCTTCTGGCATATCACAAGACCAACACCATCCATTATTACTTCCCTGCCTACACCGAGTAATTGATCCAACACTTCGGCTTCTAGAGAAACTCTGTGGTGGATAGCTATGGCTCCTTCTCCTGCATGAGACAAATCTCCTGACATAGACATGCCAAACAGAGCCACTCTGATCTGGCCTGAAGCAGTTCTTTTGAAAGGCGGGGTCAGATGCATTTCTGGCATTTCAATTAAAAGTCCAGGATAGACAGTAGAATCCATAACTCTCTTATTTTTTATAGATACGTAATGGCATTTTCCTAACACAGCAGTAGAATCCACGTTTTGGGGGATTGTAAACAGAAAGGCCTTCAACACCAAAATACTGATATGATCGGCTTCCTTCCTGCTAAGCATGCAGGCCCGTTTGCTCAATATGATACTGCGCACCAGGCTAAGGAGAAGCTTAGAACTACTGAAATCCACTGGTATCCGGCAACCACAGGCTTCAGATGAAAGGTAGTCAACGCACAGGCTCAAAATATGTTTGCTAATTTTAATGAAAGTATACGCAGCAATATTCAGGCTTTGGTATTTTTCAAGCAAGCTGCAGCAAAAAATTGCCGTAAATAAGCCGCTGTCCCCGAAGAGCGCAAGGTGGTTCTGCACAGAGGCTACCAGAAGCTTTAAGACGGGAAGAGTGACACAAAGGCTACTGAACAAAACCGAAGATTGTGATGAAATACGAATGTATCCTCCCATGCCATTGTGAAATTGTTTAAGCCTACCTGTGGGGCCATAGCAGGACCTTGTTATCTTACCAAATGTGGAGACAGCCTGGCTGACCACCTCCTTAGTTAAAGGACCAGTGGTGCAGAGGGAAGGTTTTTTAATGTCAATTCGAGACATCTTTCCTGACAAAAATTCCAGTCAAGCTTTAGAAGCCTTCCATTTCTACAAAACAGTTTTTAATCATCATTATACACAGGCATGCGAGACCTTGGGTTTTCTTTGCAGGCAACGACACAACAAAGGGATTTAACAGCACTTATTTGATGTTAGACAATGCGATCAATGTGATGATTGCCGAAGCTCCTTCATTCAACGAGACCTTTTCAGTTCATTTCCATGCCCTGTTTTTGAAGAAAGCTTTGCTGCTTTTGGTAGACGGTAAATATCAACATGGGCACCAATGAATAAAAATCCAGGCATAGGCAGCCAATCCCTGCTATTCCAGCTGCCTTACATCTTTTGTTGATGGAGACCTATAATAAATAAGGGAGATATACCTATGAGAAGGAGGGAAAGAAAGGAGATTTCATAATACTATAATCACAGTATACATTTATTAAGACCACTTATTTCAGTGCAAACGCTTGGCAAATAATAAGCCCTCTCTGAAAATGAGGTATAATCATAGTGAATATNATTTCATTGTATTAAAGAACAGTATGTATATATAGTGTATATACATAATAAAAAGGTCATAGCCATATCCTAGATCAGGAGTAAGCAACCTTGGCTCTTTTATGACTCGTGGACTTCAAATCCCAGAATTCCTGAGCCAGCCATGCTGGCTCAGAAATTCTGGGAGTTGAAGTCCACAAGTCATAAAAGAGCCAAGGTTGCCTACCCCTGTCCTAGATGCATGATCTTGGGTATCCAACTGAATGATATAATTTCCAGGAACATGAAATATCCTTTTTGAAGGAAAACTATAGGTTTGATGAGCTAAAGAGAAACTACGAAAGGCAAGATTTTTACTGGGAATGTTTGGGGGTGGGGGTGTTGACCAATTTTTGTGCTAGATCTTTCATACACTGTTTTCTAATAACTGTCCCAGGAATCCTTGGCAAAAGAGTCTAAATTTTGGTGGTTTCGAAAGAAGGCCTTTACCTTTTGCAATCAGAATGAAATAAACAGTGCAACTGGAATGGGCCAACTTGACGCAGCCATCTTGCCGCGCGACAACTCACCATGACCAACTCGCAGCAGGACAACACATGGAGGGAAAAATTCTGTGCGGGATAACTCAAAGTGATGTCATCTGCCAATTTTTTGGGGAGGTTTCTTACATTATTTCCATCGACAAAAATGGTAATAATCTAGAAGAAACAGTGGCAGATAAGATTTACTGTGTTGTGTTATCCTGCATGGATTGTCCCATGGTAATTTGGCCGTAGTGAGTTGTCCCATGACGAGTTGGCTGTGGCGAGATGGCCGCAACAAGTTGTCCTAGAACCTCCTAGAGCAATTATCTATCTCTATATGTTACAGCAGGGGTCTCCAACCTTGGCAACTTTAAGACTTGTGGACTTCAATTCCCAGAATTCCTCAGCCAGGAAGTTGAAGTTCACAAGTCTTAAAGTTGCCAGGTTGGAGACCCCTATGTTACAGCATAAAGCTTGAGCACCGATTTATATCTGGAAGTCATTCAAACATAGGCAACTAAAGGACACCTCAAACCAACTGGGGCATCCACATAGTGCCAGAATGCCAATGAGCCATTCTAACATGGAGTTGAACTTTAATTTTTGAAATAAGCAAAAGTGGGATTAGAATATTGAGTTTGGAAAGTTAATGGGGTAGATGGACTTGAAATATTTCCTACGAGATGTTTAAAATTTTATAAAATAACACATGAAGATTTGAAATTATCTATAAGAAACTCTCCTGTGAGAATGTTTTACTGATTGGGAAAGAAACAGATGTTAAGAAGAGATGTTTGAAGGTTGACTAGAGGGAACCAGAGAGAACTAAGGATTAAGTCTGTTTGGGAGCATTTTACTTAACAATTACTTACAAGATTTTATGATATTGTAACAGTGGATATAGAAGAACAACACATTTTAATTGAATAAAACAGGTTAAGGCTGATTTGAATATGGATTAGTATTTTTTAAAAATGCCAGATTACAAAAGTGATATGGAAAAAGATGCTGTGGATCTGAAAATGAATTTAAAATGCCAAAATATGGAAAAAGATGCCACAATCAATTTACAAATGAAACCAGCTGATATCTTAATAATTAAAGCAGAGATACAAATAATAAATCAGAAGAGTGACTTGGAAAGTCATCTTCTCTTGGATTTATAAAAGGGATGTGTTAAACTAATGCAACTGTTCCTGAGAGGAAAGAAAGAGAAAATGATAAGGAATTAGCTGGTGGGACATTATTTGACAGGATTAAAAATCAAGAAAACAGAAGGAATTCAAAGTGGATTTATTTGATCAGAGTCAATATATGTTGTGGTTTCTGATAGTTATTAATGGAATTTCTTTTTGACCAGGATTGAACAACTAGGCTTTAAAGATCAGTTTATAAATAAGAGATTTCTTTTGTTTTACAGTATTTCTTAGAGCAGGGCTTTTCAACCAGTGGTACAGGTACCACCTGTGTACATTGGCACCTGGCAGGTGGTACGCGACCATCCTAGAAAAGTGGTAGCGGGGGAGGGGAATGAGTTGAACCAGTGGCAGCACCGCACAAGCCTGAGCGAGAGACGGCTGGAGCTGCAGGGCTGTCAGGGCTCAGCGGAAGCGCCAGGATCAGTGCCAGGCTCCAGCTGGAGCTCGGCGCTGATCCTGGTGCTTCTGCTGAGCCCAGAAGAAGCACCGATCATCTGGAATGTTGCAGCCTCTCCAGGGTCTTGTGATTTACATTCAGATGCTTGGCAAGTGATTCATATTTATGATGGCCACAGTGTCCCAGGGTCATGTGAAGTGACCAAAACCTGCTGCAACCACCCAGCAGATGGGGGGAATAAAAACCAAACACCCCCCCACCCCCACCCCCGCTGCCAATCCTCAACAGAAATGTTCACAACAATGAAAACCTCAGACAGGAGGAAGAGCGCCGCCGGGTGGGCAGGCGTTTTGCTCGGCTGTGCCTTGCAGGGCACTTTTTTCAGTGCCATTGTAACTTCAAACAGTTACTAAGCGAACTGTTGTAAGTCGAGGACTACCTGTACTTCATCACTTTTTTCCTTTTTTTTTTTTTTGGTCATCAAGTTTTTGACACCTTGCTAGGCGACTGGTGGTACTCGGATATTGCCATATCCTAAAAGTGGTAAAATGGGTGAAAAGGTTGAAAAGCCCTGTCTTAGAGAAAGTGCTGTAATACAAAATGGATTCATTGTTAAAATATAATATGTTATTATTTTTGGTAGACTTTTGCTGATTAGGACTGAATGGTGAGTTTTTATAATTTGATTATTGATAAGGGCTGAGTATGGAAAGAAGTGATCGTTGTTTTACCCTTTTCCTTATTTTTTCTTTTACCTATGCACTTCTCCTTTCCTTTCCTTTTTATATGTCTCTTAATTTGTATTAGTCTTTTATCTTAAAAGATAAAAGCTTTTTTTAAAAAGCTCACATAGGCAGGTGAAGAAAATACATGATTTTGAACAAGGGATAGATACAAATTTTGCTTTAATGAGTTCAGAATGTATGCTATTATTAATTATGCTCAAAAGCTGCATTCATAATAGCTCTGCCAAGGTAGCAGATGAACTGCAGCTGTTCTGCATCACATAAATATTACCTAATATTTTTGTTCTGCTACATATATAAAAATTGTGAACTGGTGAAAAATGATATGGCTGATGAATTTAGCCAGGAGAATATACCAAATATACACAATTAGTACATATGTGTACTAATCCAGTTTATGGTTGTAACTATTGTAAAGAGATCATGGAAAAGAAAATGCAGTCAGATTTTTAAGGAATCCAGTTCCCCATCTCTGCTTTAATGAGGCTAAAACATTGCCGTGGAATATCAAACGATCCAATTTTCACAGAGAAAAAGAGTGACAATTAATATTGGGGTTATTTGTTCCTATAGGATTCTTGCCTAATCCTATAACAGATCCTGGCCTGAGCACCAAATTATAATATATTATCTTACATATTTGCCCATTTTGAGTATTTAAAATCCTACGCTTTAAAGCTCCTTCCCAAAATTCTATATTGCATTGTGTTTTTGTTCCCAAAACAGGATGAAACGCAGAGAAAATGAATTGCTTGAGGCCAGTTAAGAAGTGGTTGGTAGAAGCAACATCTCCAGAGCAGGAAGTGCCCGGTTCTGCTAAGTTTTACTAATCCTCATTTTCCAAGAGAAAATGCTAGGCCATGCCACCAAAGCAGATCCTTAGCTGTCTGTTTGTTGGTTCATTTCCTGTTCTTAGGATTTACTCACACAAGTTGCAATGTTGACATTTATTCCTATGTTAGGAAGGATAGCTTATGGTTTGACAATAAAGGCTATCTATTATGGACCATTACTATGCCACTTACCGTGAGTCTCCAGAGCACAGTTCTGCAAGAAGAGGCATAAATTCCACAACAGGGTGTGGGAAATTAAACAGATCAGCCTGTTCATCATCATCCCCTTTGGTATCCTCGACATATAACAGTTTGTTTACTGTCCATTCAAAGTTATTATGGTGCTGAAAAAAGTGACTTATGACCTTTTTTTTTTATAACCGTTGCAGCATCCTCATGACGATGTGATCAAAATTCAGACATTTGGCAAATGACTCATATTTATGATGGTTGCAGTATCCTGGGATCATGTGATTACCTTGTGCGACCTTCTGATAAGCAAAGTCAATGGGGAAACCAGATTCACCTAACAACTGCGTCACTAACTTAACAACTGCAGTGATTCACTTAACCACTGTGGCAAGAAAGGTTGCAACATGGAGCAAAACTCCCTTAACAAATGCCTCACTTAGCAACAGAAATGTTGGGCTCAATTGTGGTCATAAGTCGAAGACTACCTGTATTTCTGCTGCCTTTTAATCATTTTGTACTTACCTTTTAATCATTCTGTAGCAGTTTATAATTATTTCTGTTCATTTTCTTTCTCCTGCTGCAGGACATATCTCATAATGTCAGA